TATGCACGATATTGCTATACTGTCGTCCTTGGGCATACATATGTCTCAGGTGTACCGGCCGAATATGAATAATTGAGCGTGTTCATTAGAGCAAAAACTCCATGGAGAGAGATCTGAAACCTTACACACTGACTCCCTGTACATCCCAGAATGGAAAACAGGGGCCATTTACAGTATACTTCACATGAGACACTGTATATAGTTCATTATTTGGTGAAATCAAATGTTTTCATTATTGTCTACTGTTTGAACAGATATGGATGCTTGCATGGGTAGCTGCCCTAAGGCAGGGGGCAACACATGTGAACTGGTGCAGTAATGGAAAACATTGCTGTTTGGCATTCACATAGTTTGGGCTGTGCTATAAGCCGCAATGTCATGCTTTCAGCTTAAACAGCTTGTATAAGTTATTTCATATGAATCTTTTGAGACCCTAATTCTAGACGGTAGCCTCTGGATGGGAACTATGGAAATCCCTGGAAATCATGCAAGTAAGCTCTTGTTGCATATGAGGAAACAGTGCAAGACCAGTTAAGGCTTTTGTTTTAAGACTTAAATTGTGAATATCAGAATGATTTTAATAAATTTTTTATTTGGCCATTAAGTTTTCTTAACAAGTTTGACTCATTTCACGATCCTGACTCATGAATATGAGATCGTTATAGACAGAGATGTTTTATAAGTGTCTATGATTTAAACTAGCAAAAGAGATTCAATTTTGTGAACCAGTTAAAACTGTTTATTTCAATGAATCAATTCAAAATTGACTCGATTCATTTGCATCATTACTTAAATGAACTTATTAAATCATTACATCATTACTTAGATGGAAATATTATAGTAAAGGTATATGTAAATATTGAAGGTTGTTTATTATGTATTGTAATATTGGTGCATTTAAATTCAAATGATTAAATAATGAGCTCAAGGATGATGGTATAACGATATCATCCATATCAGGACACGTGAGAAATGTTTTAATGGCTGTTTGGTTGAAATTATGGATCCCATGACTGAAAAAAAAAACAAATATCAAAATATATATTGCATAGCACCACAATGCTAAAATATATTAAGATATATATTTCTAGTTATATCACAAAGCCTATCAAATTGTACTTTAGAAAAAAAGGATGGTGATGAGAAATAGGATAATATCCAAAGAGCTCCCCTAGGAAATGTATTAAAGTCTTTCGCTAACAGGCATGTCTAATGCATGAGATCAAGTTTCCATAAAAACTAAACCTCATGAGAAAATGTTATTTCCGCATCATTTATAACAGTTATAATCATTTATAATGTGTGAATATTTGATCACATCTTGAATGTAAAATCATCAGTGTCTTCATATTGAGGAGAGAGGCAATGAGCATTTGAACTGCTTTGTAATTATAATCACTTGGGATTTTTCAACTACTGTCCAGTTAACACAGTTCATCTTTCCTTAGATGCATGCTTTCATGGGAAAAAAAATTGAGTTGTATTTGAATATTGAGTATTGGTGGTACCAGTGAACCCAACTTTTTTAACTAAAGCTAGAGGCAGCATATCATATAAACACACTCGCATAGACCCGTATAAACACACACACACACACACACACACACACACACACACTACTCCTCATTCATTGTGAATCTCTTAAATGAGCGATGATTTGTTTGGAGAGATATTTTCAGAAGGGAGAACAACATTAGTAAAAGTACTTAAAGCATTTCAGGGAAAACCTCTCTTCTGTAACCTAGCACATGCTCACCTGTAGTTAAAGATTTATCATTTATCTGCTTCTTTATCAAAACAATTACAGAGTCACAAAGAGCCATAAAAGTCTCATTACAACATGATGTAACTGTCTGTAATAATGGGATTATGCTCCTCTAGAAGTGGAAATTATAAGATTCTTTTCTAATTTTACCATTGAGACAATACAAAATTAACTTTTTTAACATATTTGTGGATCACTATTAATTCAGAAATGCATTTTGAATTCACATATAGTGTTGTTTTCTTAGTTTTTGCACAGATTAATGTCAAGCTCAACAATTCAACCCTGTTATTGTAAGATAAAATATTTGTATTTTTTTAACTATATATATGGTATCAAGACATGTTTGAATGCAAAGTTTGCCTAACATCCTTTCTACTAAGATGCCTTTATGGTTTTTAAAAGGCACCATTTATTTATTTTTTGCTGCCAAAAGCCAATGCGTGTCGTTTTAGCGGATGTTTGACTTAAATTAAAAATGCCATGTTATTTTTCAGGATACTAATGACAAACAAGCATTGAAGTTATTCAGTATCCTCTTGGTCTCTAAAGCACACTTGAATTTGTTCTTGTTCATTAGACATGACGCTATGGTGCCTTGGAAGTCTGTCTGAAAGCAGATCACTAGGAGGTTCCCTCACACAAACATGCTGCCTGTTAAGTCAGTGACTGACTGGGCAGCAAGACAGCTGCATTTGGCTTCAGACAGCCTCACACATCCTCTGATGTAAATCTCAAAACTTTGCATTTCGCACAGTTTCAAATGAGAGAGATTTGTAAACTAAATGTAGCCATAATGAACCACACTGTATGTCTTTACAAACCTGTATGAGAGCGAGAGGAAGAGAAGATGAGAGGCGAAGAAGTACACTGTGCTTTCCTCTCCTCATTCTGAATTCAGCCATTGGTGCGCTGGGATCACACTCTTTCACCTCTGACATAATGCTCACAACAACATTGCATCTCCAGCCACAGCACTGCTGAGACTGTTCCAGATCTGCTCGCTCCATCCAGCTGTGTGTCACTGGCAGGGTCAGAGCTGTGGCACAGAAAGCTGACATCTGTCCTTAGTGGGGTAGATTGAGGGAGCTGGTCTGCACAACTGGAAATCCAGAAGATATATTTAGAGCATAAGGACAAGGTTGTTCATCTTGAAAATGGCTGTGGCTCTGTGCAACCTTGATGCCCTCTGCAGCTCCACAGGAGAGCGTGGCCTGGCTCTGTTTACTGAACTCCCTTAAATCCACAGCCAAGGTGCTTTGATTCCTCCTCTGTTGGAGGACTTTACTCACTCAGGTTGGTGAAGAGCAGCTTATCGGACATTAATGAAATTAATCTTTTTTGGTTCTGTTTTTTAAAGGACAATTTGGATTAACTCAACTGTATTTCACTTTGAAATTATTTACACTTAAAAAGGTGGTTTTGATTGTACTATTTTTGTCATGTCTTTTTTTTTTTAGGTGTTGACATGTTTGGTTTGGATTTGTTTTATCTTTAGTCTTATCCAAAGATTAGTTGTATCTTGTTTTTAAAGTTTCACATTTTATGCATAGATCATATAATTTTACCCTTCACTCTTAAAAATAAAGGTTCTTTATTGGCATTGATGGTAAAAAAAAAAAATATTTTAAGAATTGTTTACTGAAAGGTTCTTTAGGGAGCAAAAAAAATGTTTTGTGTTGTTGCAGATGCAGATTTTTTTCAAACTCACACAATCAAAACAAAAATATTTTACCATTTCAATATTAATTTGTGCATGTATGATTTATAAAATATAAAAAATAACAAATTGAAAAAATATATAACTAAACCATTTTTAATCATTTAACGCCAAATATTTGAATATTTGTATTTTTTTAACTATATATATATATATATATATATATATATATATATATATATATATATATATATATATATACACACACACACACATTAATTTTTTACATTTATTTCTTAGAGCTAGAAAATAGCAAAAGTAGATAAACTACATTTTCTAAAGGTTAAGTACCTTTAACTGACTATTTGTTTCTTTAGACCATTTTAAAACTGTTTCAAGCATTTCTTGCATCGTATTCTATTCACTGAAATTTATGTAATTTATGTATTTCCTCATTTATGTATTCATAGTTGGGCAGTTGGGCCTAATGGTTAGAGAATCTGACATGTAACCCAAAGATTGTGGGTTCGAGTCTCGGCACCGGCAGGGATTGTAGATCGGGGGAGTGAATGTACAGCACTCTCTTCCACCCTCAATACCACAACTGAGGTGAGACCCTTGAGTAAGGCACCGAACCCCCAACTGCTCACCGTGTGTGTGTACTTGGATGGGATAAATGCAGAGCACAAATTCAGAGTATGGAACGCCACACGTCAGCTCACTTCTTCATTTATGGAAAGAATAACTCCAGTCCGAACAAAGACTCCCACATAAATCCCCAGAAAGGCAAAGATAGATTAAGTAATTATAAGGTGAGAGAAGACCAATCAACACTGCCCTGTCCAGTTCTCACCCACAGCGTGAATTATGTACCACAACATAAACCCTCTCTCATATTGTTTTTTTTTTTTTTGCCAGGAGGAAAGAATGAATGGCTTATGAATAGCCCGCAGTTCAATTCCAATAACAACACAAAAACGGCACACTGCAAATGTGAGATGCACAGTTTGACCCTTTCTATATAAGAAAAGCACCAAAGCGCATTAGCAAAGAAGTTGTTCGTAAAAACCCAATGATGTCATGAGGTAAAAGGAAATATACAGCGCAAAGCGATCATTTCCACTCTCTGCACTTGGGTCTGAAAGCAAATAAACATGTTTGGCACAGAGCTGATCACCTCATCCTCAGGAGGGGGCAGTTATGGGAGTAATCAAAGCTAAACACAGAAGGAAAGGTAGAAAGTGGAAAGATAAGACAAGTAAATGAGGGAGAGTGTTGTGCACTCGTTCCATCTGTCTCTAATTGATTGTTTTTAAACTATGAGGGCAATCTGTCTCTGTCATTAACACAATGACCCGGTAAGAGCACACCAGAGCATAGTAAAATTCCATGCTGAAATGCATTACACCTTCTCTTCTTCATTCTGCACTGCAGACTCCATGTTACAGAAACACAATAAGGTTCTTTTCACATTGATTTCAGTTGTTGGGCAAAGGTTTAGGGTCATATTCAGATACTGGAGTTTTAAGGTTTCCTTCCTGTTCTCTTTCCTTTTACAAGAGGAACTCAGATGCCATGATTGATTGGCCCAATGGCACAGCACCCGGCCAGCGGGAGGATGAGAGCAGTGCTCAGGAGAGGTCAGAGTGTGTGCTGGCTTACATCCCTGTCGTCTACTACAGTACTCTGTTGTGTGTTGGAGTGCCAGGTATGAGATGTGCATTTTAATACCTATTAATATGGGTCAATTAAGACCAGGGTCATGGATCATTGAGAATTGAATTGAGAATGCATTTTAAGTTAAGAATCAAGATACATTTTTGCATTTAATTTAGGGAAGTACGATGGAATTGAGTTTCTGAGTTCACAACAGCCAATTCAAATCAATTTAATAGCTGTCTAATATAAGATCTCTTTAGTTTACCCAAAAATGAAAAATCTGTCATTATTACTTCCCCTCATGTCATTCTAAACTTGTAAGACTTTCTTACTTCTGCAGAACACAAAAACAGACATTTAGAAGAAAGTTTAAAATGTTTTTGTCCATACAATGAAAGTTAAAGGGATCCAAAACATCACTGTATGGACACAAAAATTCTGAGATATTTTACGCAAATGATGACAGAATTGTTATTTTTGGATGAACTATCCAAAGGCTTTTCTACTGTGTGTGGTAAGTAAAGTTTGATGGAAAAAATAACAGCATATGTGTTTGGAACACAATGAATATGAAGGAAAAGAAATCATATTTTCATTTTATTTGATTCAGTTGAGTTAAATTTAAATTTCATTCTGCTGTCCCTTGGGTAATAGAGACATGTCTTTTCTATAAATTGTTTCACTATATAAATGTTTAAAAACACTTAAAATACACGTATGTCCTGTTGTGTCAACCAGCAAAAACAGCACAAATTCACTTGAGTTTAATCTTTTCTTTGTGGAAAATCAGGGTAAAGGTTACCGTGGGCCGCCATGTTCTGTAAATATGACCCCCTAATCTTTTACTTCCCATCAATCCTGCTGTGTCAACTCCCTCCATGCCCTTGATTTCTATCTCTGTCTTATGCCTCTCCCTTCTCTGGCCTCCTTCCCTAACTGTTTATGCTTTGTCAATTCTCCTCTACCTCAATCCTTCTTTCTAATTCCAGTTGTCTCCTTTCCCTAGTGAACATCCTGACGTTGGTGGCTCTTTACCGGCTGTCTGTTCGTACTCAGAAGGCCCTGTATGTGTATCTTCTTGCTCTTACTGGCTCGGACATCCTCAGCCAGCTGTTCATCATCTTCGTGGGCTTCCTGTTGGAAACGGCCGTGTTTCACCGAGACGTCCCTGTGCTGCTGCTGAGGTCGGTCAGTATGATGGAGTTTTCCGCCAACCACGCATCCATCTGGGCCACCGTACCCCTCACGGTGGACCGCTATGTCGCTTTGTGCCACCCACTACTCCACCGGCAGATCAGTTACCCAGCCCGAGCCCGGCGGATCATCGCAGTGGTGCTCACATTGGCGCTAGCATCCGGCGTGCCGTTCTTCTGGTGGTCGGACATGTGGAGGGTCAACCGTGCGCCCAACAACTTGGATACTGCCTTGATTTGGACCCACGTGACTATTATTTATTTTCTTCCATGCTGCATCTTCCTGGTGCTAAACTCCTTGATCATCCTGAGGCTCCGGAAGAGACAGCGACAGCAGAAGTGCCAAGATGAGAGTGGGCAGCAGCTGGCAGTGCCAGGCAAGCTGGGTAAAACCACAGCTATGCTCCTAGCAGTGACTTCTGTGTTTGCTGTACTGTGGGCGCCTCGTACCGCAGTGGTGCTCTACCATCTCTATGTGTCATCGGTGCACAACGATTGGCGGGTACATTTAGCATATGACTTGGCCAACATGTTAGCCATGCTAAACACTGCTGTGAATTTCTTTCTGTACTGTTTTGTCAGCAAACCTTTTAGAGCAGCAGTGAGGGATGTCCTGTTGTTCCGGTGGGGACCGTTGCACCCACGCCGCCCCCTACATCACCAGCGCACTGCTGCCAATGCCTCCACCTCCTCTGTTTCCAGCTCCAAACGTTCCCAACGAGAGCTCACCCCTCTCTCTCCCAAAAGGGCAGACATCAAGATGTAATCCTGCTAAAAGGGATAGTTCACTTAAAAATTAAATTTCTGTTATCATTTAATCACCCTCATGTTGTTCCAAACCTGTATGACTTTTCTTTTTTGTCCATACAGTGACAGTCATTAGGGTACATTAGGGTATGTGGTTTTGGACCCCATTAAACTATTATCTTGAAAAAACTAAATGCTGAAACATTCTTTGGAGTAATGAAAAATAGTCATACAGCTTTGGAATTAAAGTTTAATTCAGTAAATGGTGACAGAATTTAAATTTTTGGGTGAACTATCCTTTTAAGCCCCCAACAAAAGCATAGTATTTTTCTTAGAATTAAGTTTTTTTTAAGAATTCAAATTGGTGGCTTTTATGGATTTAGAAGTTCAAAGTGCGGTCACATTAGTGAAATGTTGCATGCAAAAATGGTCCATTGTCTATAATGTAGCAATGTATGAAGCACAGCTCACAATCACTTTTAAACCAAGCAGCATTCTGTTGGTCAGTGCTGTAAATTCGTTAGACCAACCTGAATACGAGCAAAATCTAATCCTATTGCCATGAGTGGATTTCGTCCATGAAATTTCACAAATTTTTTAAACAACAGTAAATGTCACCTCAGCATTAGATTGTAATTTTGCATGATTGGCATCACCAACAGAATAGAAACAATACTGACTTGTTTCCCACATATTATCCTCATAACGAACAGTCTATAATCCATTCACGCTAATGTGCACCACAGGTACTGTTAATCTGAACGATGTCTTTTCTGACCTCTGGTTAGTAACCCGAGAGATCACAGTTTACGGTCATTAAACAAACGCTGAATAATGCTAACTTTGTCTTGCTGACAAGAAAAGTCAGGTTTGCAGGGCATCATGGACATCTTCCAATCAAGACATAACCATTCCAGAAAAGAGTGTGTTTTGCACTGATCTGCATACGTGTTTTATTTATAGTCGTGTCCTCTGCGGGGACCAGAAAGCATACTACAGTATTTAAGAAACAAAGATAGGCTCATCAAATGAGCATTATATCTTGTCATTTTCCATAAATGGCTATCCTGGGAACAGATTGAAATATGAATACTCCGTCATCATTTATACACCTTTGTGTTGGTCCAACCTTCTTTTGTGAAACACAGGTGGAACACACTTTTCCACATTATGAAAGTAAATAGTGATGCATGCTATCAAGCGCCACAATGACCAAAAAATTTAATAAATTAAATTAAAAAAAAAAAACAAAGGTATCGCAAAACTGGTGTTTTAAAGCCATATGTGAACCTGGACCACAAAACCAGTCTTAAGTCACTGGGGTAAATTTGTAGCAATAGCCAAAAATACATTGTATGGGTCAAAATTATTTTATGCCAAAAATCATTAGGATATTAAGTAAAGATCATGTTCCATGAAGATATTTTGTAAATTTCATACTGTAATTATATTAAAACTTAATTTTTTTATTAGTAATATGCATTGCTAAGAACTTCATTTGGACAACTTTAAAAGCGATTTTCTCAGTATTTCGATTTTTTTGCACCCTCAGATTCCAGATTTTCAAATAGTTGTATCTCGGGCCAAATATTAACAAACCATACATCAATGGAAAGCTTATTTATTCAGCTTTCAGATTATGTATAAATCTCAATTTCGAAAAATTGACCCTTATGACTGGTTTTGTGGTCCAGGGTCACATACAATATAGCTTTGTGTGAGAAAACAGCTGAAATTGTATTCATTATATGAAAAACCTTAAGTTTCTTTAAATTTGCATACATTTAAATATGACACCAACACATATTACATAAGTTTTGACATCTATGATTATGGCCATGTCACATTGACATCAAAAATAGGATGAGTGATCCAAACAGTTAAAAAAAAATCGCTTTTTACCATTGGTAGATAGAAAGCAATACAGATTCAGAATAACATAAGGATGTGTAAATGATGACAGATTTATATTATTTTTGAGTGAATTTTCCATTTAACTGTATTTTGATATTGTAAGAATATGTGTCATGTATTTAGTGTTTTTATAAATGTTGCTCATTTTGCAGATGAATGAAGTTCTTTAAACACATAAAATAGTGTTTCAGTAACAGTCTTGTCTCATTCATTTATGATCTATCATTCCATACTATAAAATATTTTTTGGGTAGATTTGAAGCCATATTAAATCTACTCATCTTAATGCACTATACGCTACATCATTTTCCATTTGAATGTAATTAGCATTTTATTTTCTGATCAAACTTAAGACATGGTTCCATAATGTTCATAATAATTGTTCATAATGTTCTGATCGAGAACTTTCTTGCAGTTGTAGGTTATGTTGCATGACTAAATGAAACCCTTTCAGAGCCCATGAAGCAGAGCAAGATGGCTGACCTTTTTAACCCCAGTGTGCAAACTGCACTCGCTGGCTTAGATGTTTATTTTCAGTGCATGGCGACTGGATGAGGCTTTAAAAGGGGCTTCGACGTGGGAACATGAGTGAAGACACCACTGTACAAACAGACCCATCTGAGGAGCTCAGGCTGAACTGCTGAACAAAGCCAGCCTTGAGCTTCTGTGCACCCATGCAGCAACAACAAAAATTTCCATTTGCTAGGATTCACCAGGATCACCAGAGATGTGCTGGGGTCAATTATATTACTCCGTAATTTGTTATCTGATCAGATATCATGCAGTACTTGCCAGCATGTACTTAAGAAGAACAGATTCAGATCTTCAGAGTCAGCTCAATCTAAATGCAATGAAATATGTGATACAATTACCAAAGTCTTGATGTTTTCACGTACACACTTAACCAGTTGTATATAAAATTTATTTTTACTTTAAAAGCCTGTGCGTCAGTTTTCCCATTGAGTTTAAATCTGAATAAATCTGATGGAAGAGAGACTGCAAGAGTCAATTATATCAGTCCTTGACTTTACAAATGATAATTCAATTTGTTTTAAATGCCTTTTTATGACTAGTGATTTAATGAAGCATACTTTTGGCTAAAAGGTACATTGAAAGCTTTGACTTAATTATTCTGGTGAATTAGAGATGAACGTTTTTAACCTTTAAAAAATAACTAACTCACTTATTATCTAGAGCTTTAGTTATGAACTCTTCGCTTGTCCTTTTAGTGCACTTGTGTTTCTCAGCACCCAGTGTTGCATCCTGTGTCTCTTTCCTTTTTTCTTTCTTGCTCTCTCTCCCCCTTCTCAATCATGAGAGAGGGAGCCTCTGGCCCTGCAGATGTTATCAGATGTTGTCTCTTAGAAAAAAGTCCCCCGCTGCATCACGAACACAGATGCCGGAGTAGAAAGCACATCTATCGTTAAAGCCTCAATACGAGCAGACGGCTGACAGCACAAGAAAGAGTCTGAATACTTAAGACAATAAATAACCTGGTCTGTTTGAGGTCAGCTTTAGATTTGCTTAGCTTTATGCAGCTGCAGAACATGGATTTGTCCTTGATGAATGCATCAGTTTTGCCACTTTACCTACATTATCTGTTAAGGTCAACATGAAATGACATTCACAACCATGTACACTGGGAAAAAGGTGTAGGATTTAGTTTGAAACATTTAATATTTTCACTCAGAAATTGCTAGTAAATTTCACAGATAATTACAAAGAAACAGCGAGAAATACATTGAATAAAATGTGAAATTTAGAAGTGGAAAGACTGAAATAGTATTTTTTTATTTATTTTGTAAAACATACTCCAGTCAATAAACTTAAAAAAAAAAAGATTTTTTACACTGTATATTTCGCTACGATAGCTTGATTTATTTATTTATTTTTCCATTGGAAATTGATTGGATTATGAAAAGTAGGAGTTTTATGCCACAGTTTTCTGTCAGTTTCAAGAGGTTAAAATGTGTCTGCTTAGTGTGGATCTAAAAGTAGCTATGCATTCTAACTAAACTGGCTAAAAAATGTCTGTGGTTCCCATAAGCAAGGATGACAGATGGCGTTCTTACTGAATTCACTGTAAGATTAAGACATTTTTTTTAACTTTTGATTAATGTGCACTAACTCATGCACAATAAGACCAAGAATGTATAAAAAATAAATGGGGTTGAGTGTGATTCCATGTTGATGGTTTTAAATGATCTACAGCAGATAATTTAATGAAATTAAAAGTTTTTTTGGTGATGTCTGGCAGATGAGAACTGCCAAACTGTTCATCAATGATGTAACGCGATATATTTTAGCCTTTTCTTTTGTGAAATATGACTTAATCTTGTGTCACTAAACATGTTTCTGTGTGATGTGGTGTAAGAGGATAACTGCTGAACTTTACAGATATCCTCACAAAATGGTGTATGGCACTAGCATGATATACTGCCCCTTAAAGAAGTCGTGTTATTGTTCATGGTTTACATAGTGGCACACAAGCTTTCCTTCGGTTGTGTTATCAAATATGTGCACTGATAATAACTGATTCATTGTTTTTACATTTCAATCATACTGATAGGAAATTATATGTCTATGAGGATCTATTTATCTGGAGTCCTTAAAAAATCTAATAAAAGCACTCAAACTTAAAGCTGTTGCATTTCAGTGATGGAAGCATTCAAAATTCAAGCCTATAAGATCAGTTGTGATACGTGCTGAGCTTTCTTTGACTTTTTTTCCGTTCTTTCCTTCTTGCTGTCAAAAAAGGAATGAAAGCACACTGTGCAATACAGTATCCTGTAACGTGAGCAGAACACATCACACCTCACACTCCAACAGTGAGTGAGTGACGTGACATGTGGCCCATACTCGGAATTAGTGAACACACACAAACCGTCCGGGAGCAGTTGGGGGTTCGGTGCCTTGCTCAAGGGCACCTCAGTCGTGGTATTGAAGGTGGGAGAGAGCGCTGTACATTCACTCCCCCCACCTACAATTCCTGCCTGTACGAGACTCGAACCCACAACCTTTGGGTTACGAGTCCGACTCTCTAACCATTAGGCCACGACTTCCCACGACTCCCCAACAGCACACCAGACAGGAAAACAAGCAATGAGTCTGCTAGTTCTCCGTCTCCAGCATATCATAATTGTAACAGAAATGGACAAAGTCCTCTATATAGTATACTACACAATACAACCAGATGTAGATTAAGATGTATATATAAAACAGCATATTCAGCTGTATTGAGCTGCAATCAGATAAATAAATATAAGGCTGTATAGGTAGAGCAAAAGGGGATCAAGAGCAAGACATCTGACCACAGGTTGCTTCCATGCTGTCTTGTCACTGCTGCAATAAACAATACGGGAATTGCAGAAGAAAAAAAACGTTGCACAGTACATGTGGAAAAATATCAAACACACTAGATTAATCTGTAGACAATTTGAGGAGTAGTGCTCACTCGTGAGCAGTCGAGCAAGTTCCACTAGATCAGGGGTGCCCAAACTCGGTCCTGGAGGGCCGATGTCCTGTAGAGTTTAGATCCAACCCCAATTAGACACACCTGAACCAGCTAATCAAGCTCTTACTATGCATACTAGAAACTTCCCAGCAGGTGTGTTGAGGCAAGTTGGACGTTGCACAGTACATGTGGAAAAATATCAAACACACTAGATTAATCTGTAGACAATTTGAGGAGTAGTGCTCACTCGTGAGCAGTCGAGCAAGTTCCACTAGATCAGGGGTGCCCAAACTCGGTCCTGGAGGGCCGATGTCCTGTAGAGTTTAGATCCAACCCCAATTAGACACACCTGAACCAGCTAATCAAGCTCTTACTATGCATACTAGAAACTTCCCAGCAGGTGTGTTGAGGCAAGTTGGAGCTAAACTCTGCAGGACACCGGCCCTCCAGGACCGAGTTTGGGTGCACTAGATGAATAGGTAATGATTATATAATGATTTTCCACTAGGTGGCAATGTACACACACTTTTAGAAATATAAAATTCCCAAATTATTAAGTTTTGATAATGCGAGTTTTGGCCTATTTTAAATGGGCAGCATAAGCAAGGGAAGATTCAATTTGTGTCTTCGTTTTGCCTCGATACTTTTTCCAAGTTCAGATCGTCTTTTCATCTCTGCTCAGACCCAGAAGAAAGCACAAATAAAGAGAAACAAAGCCATTGTCAGCTTTACCTGTGTAAGCTGGTGCTGGGGTAGTAGAGCAAAGCTACGCAGCAAGCACTGAGGCCTCAAATGACCAGAGCCTATAGTAAAGTTAGTAATGGCTATTGTAATGTGCTGTGTGGATAGACAGATGAAGCGGACAAAATATGAACTCCACCATAAGTAGCTCAGTAAGGTGCCACTATGATACTTTCCCTCTCAGTTAGTTAGTTTTTTCCAGATAGTGAAAGCGAGAGCAGGCGAGCTCGAGAGGGACGTGTATGACGTGCATGGCATGCATGTGTGCGCGAGCGAGTTTGAGTTGGAGTCACATCACTATCAAAACTCGTCAAGTGTTTGCCCTAGACTATCCTTGAAGCGTTTTGAAGGTTTGTTTGCCTGGGATACAAAGGGAACATTGTTTTTTTTTTGGTTTCGTCAGGGTTTAATACCTCACCTCAGCTCTCTGGCACATTGTGGCGTCGCGATGGCTTACTCATTTTCATGCACTTGCTGGAATAGGTAAATTGTGCTCGTATACCAAAGAGTGACAGAGAAACCACACAGTATCTACGTCTGACTGTAAAAGGTGAGCTAGTTTTGTTATTTTCGTGTGCATCTCCGTGATTTCGTAAACAGATTTGCACTTTTACAATATGTTTGTGTTTTGTACTTTAATTTATTGTGTTCGTTGTAGCTTTTTGATATTAATTACATGCGCTTTGGGGTTTTTTTTATTTTTATAAATGTGCATGTGCTTTGTTTTGTTTATGAATGTGTTGGTGAAAATAACACGATTATATAGACACCACCCAGTAACGTTTTACTTTGGGCGTTGTTGCACATGTTTTACTGCGGTTTTATTAATGCTATTAGGGATATTAATCAACTCAAATTCAGCTTCATCTGTCAAATTATCCCGTTATATTTAAGCAATGAAGAGAATCTTTGTTCACCTGCTCAGGTGAGACGCCTGCCTGTGCTGCGCTCTGATTGGTGCGGTGTAACGGACTGAATGATGTGATTGGCTCAAACGGCTGTATGTCAAAATGAGTTCGTTTAATCGCATGGATAAAATGCCGAAAAGAACGAAAAATGCTAAAACCATGATGTTACTGAAAATGTCATATTTAATCACTACATTTGATATTGCTGTTAGCACTATATATTTGAGGGGATGTGTGTTGAATATTCTAAATATAGGTAGGCTACTGTATGTTAAAGCTATTTAAATTCATTTTCAAAGAAGGAAAGAGCATAGTATGTAAATTAAGTAGGAAGAGCTACAAGGAACGCATTATAAATACTCTGCACTGGAACTATTTCCCAAAAATGTGGAAAACCCCACAAGCCATTTGACTTTTAAAGCACATGTTTTACTGCGGTTTTATTAATGCTATTAGGGATATTAATCAACTCAAATTCAGCTTCATCTGTCAAATTATCCCGTTATATTTAAGCAATGAAGAGAATCTTTGTTCACCTGCTCAGGTGAGACGCCTGCCTGTGCTGCGCTCTGATTGGTGCGGTGTAACGGACTGAATGATGTGATTAGCTCAAACGGCTGTATGTCAAAATGAGTTCGTTTAATCGCATGGATAAAATGCCGAAAAGAACGAAAAATGCTAAAACCATGATGTTACTGAAAATGTCATATTTAATCACTACATTTGATATTTCTGTTAGCACTATATATTTGAGGGGATGTGTGTTGAATATTCTAAATATAGGTAGGCTACTGTATGTTAAAGCTATTTAAATTCATTTTCAAAGAAGGAAAGAGCATAGTGTGTAAATTAAGTAGGAAGAGCTACAAGGAACGCATTATAAATACTCTTCACTGGAACTATTTCCCAAAAATGTGGAAAACCCCACAAGCCATTTGACTTTTTTAAAAATTGATTTCTCCTTATTCTAGTTTAGAACTTAAAATAATAGAATGCTTGTTGAATGTTTCATGAATTGATATATTGTTAACATATTTATGGTAGAAACGTAATGCTGAAAAACTGTAATCCTCTGCTGGAGCTTGGCTATAACATTAGAGAACTCCTTGTTTCAACCATCCAGCAGGTGAACAACTCCCAGACCTTGAGTTCATGTTATGTTTATTTTTAAGGCCCTACACGGTGTTCATCAGTTCAGCCACCTTTTTACCTTGTATGCCTGTGTTAATGTTGTGATTTTCAGAGAGAGTTCTTCCAGTGCAAGAGTCAAACAAATTAAGTTTATGTACTAATATAAGTAGTCTTTATCCATCTCATATGAAAACACCTGGCTTCAGTAAAGCACGAACTGTACTGTAGCTGTTCCTGAGGGAAAGTATCAGATTTTGTATATTTTTCACTTCCTGATATCACTTCAAGGTTTTGAAAGTGGAACTAAGAAAATCAATATTTTTAAAAAAGTCGAATTAATTATTAACAGACAAATCTGCATAAGCTCCAAGTGTAGAAATGCTACACTTAATGATCCTGCACTTAATGATTAATTTTTGCTCTTCATGTGTGGTCACACTAGATGAATCAGTCCCATTCAGGCAGTGAATCATGAATGAGATCATAACTGAATTCCTCACTAAACGATTCATTTTTTTGGACATTCAAAATGAACCAGGAACCTGTAGAATGATGTGCACATTAGGTTTGTGAGTTTTAAATCCGTCTGTTTACTGCCTGTTTGTTCATATCACAACACATATATTCACAATAATTTAGAAAACAGTAAGATATTTAATTTAAATCATGATTTAAATTATGTAATCCTGTTGCCCATAATGATTGCAATGTCCGAAGTAATTTTGTATGCTCAAAGTCTAGAGAGTTCACACCTTTAGAGAGCCAACCTAATGGCCAGGGTGGTCCTCCCTTGTGGAGGATGAACATGTGAGTGAAATTTTAATTGATTTGATATCGTTACGATCTTGACATTGTCACTCCCTTACTGGGTGTGTAAGGGGAGGATTTTGAGCCAATATCACTCAGTATCTTGTGACTCTTAATTGTATGCTCATTCTTTCTTTTCTCTCTTAGGTGCTGGAAACCATGGATAACCTCACTTCCAAATCCCAACATTTTCATCTTCTGCTCTTCATCACTCTATGCGTCTTTCCTGGATCACTGGGCCAGACTTCAATCCCCAGGGGCTGTGGAGATGATGTGGACTCGTTGTATTTCAACCTCTGTGACCTGACTGCAGTCTGGGGTGTTGTAGTTGAGTCATTTGCAGCAACTGGTTTGGTGGCCACCCTGATTCTTCTGATCGTGCTGCTAGCCAGCCTTCCCTTCGTCACTGACAGGAAGTGGCGCAGTTCGTTAGGGCTTCACACAGGATTCGTCATCTTCACATTTGGACTGTTCGCCCTCACATTCGCCTTCATTGTTGGGAAGAACTTCGCCACATGTGCGTCACGCCGTTTTCTGTTCGGTGTGCTGTTCGCTGGCTGCTTCTCTTGCCTTCTCATGCAAGCCGTGAGGTTGAACATACTGGCCAGGAGGAATTCGGCACCCAGAGGTTGGGTTTGGTGCTTGGGGGCTCTGGGGCTCTGGCTGGTAGAAGTTGTCATCAACACCGAATGGCTAATCATTACTATTGTGCGATACCCAACTAATGTCACCGGAATTCTGGCTTCTGCTACTGCTGTTCCCTGTAATATCGAAAACCAGGATTTTGTCATGGCGCTCATTTACGTTCTAAATCTACTATTGGCGGTTGTGGTGGCATCCTTACCCATATTGGCAGGCAAGCACAAGCGTTGGCGCAAAGATGGAGCCCTCATCCTGGTCACAGGACTGTTTTCGGTGGGCATCTGGGTGGCGTGGATTGTCATGTATGTGTATGGGAATGCAAAGAACGGTGGGCCGACATGGGACGATCCCACATTGGCTATAGCATTGGTTTCAAACGCATGGGTGTTTCTGCTACTCCAGACGGTGCCGGCGGTGTGTAGCCTGAGTGAGGAAGATGAAGATGCAGCTGTTGAGGAAAATCTGTACCCCAGCAGAGGGTACGAGAACATTTTGAAGGAGCAAAGTGCACAGAGCATATATATGGAAAATAAGGCCTTCTCTATGGATGAGCCTAAGGCAGGTAAATGCAAGCTTTTGAATTTTTCCTTTGTATTCTTCTTAACTTTATTATCTTTGCTTTGAAGTTATCTAACTTTACAAGCTAGTTTTTATTGGGGATCCAAAATATATTTGTCTATATAGTTATCAGGAAATATTAGTGTGTTTTTATGAGCATTAGGCTGATTGGAACCAGATAATATACGTTTTTAAAGATATAAAAAAGTGCCAAACCATTAATGATATTTTTACTGTACATTTATTAATCTATTTAATTTCTTCTTCTTTTTTAATCAGATAAAACTTTATATTTTTGTCCAGTTTTTAGTAATGTAATTGTCTTCGTTGCCACATGATCCTTCAGAAATCATTTTAATATGCTGATTTGGTGCTCAACAAACATTTCTTATTATTATAAATGTTGAAAACAGTTGTGCCGCATTATATTTTTGTGGAAACAGTGGTACTTTTTTTCCGGATTTTGTAATATTGTGAAAGCCATTACTGTCACTTTTGATTAATTTAATGCTTACTTTCTGAATAAAAGTATAAATTAATTTCTTTAAAAAAAAAAAAATCTTACTGACCCCAAACCTTTGAACGGTAGGTTATCTGTGATCATTCTTTACACAATGATTCTGGTTCCGTCATAATTCTAATCGCACTTTGCATTTGACAGATGCAATCCTGAAATTATCTTTGTATGTCTGTGCAGTTTTTATGTTCAGTATAAGTATTCAGATAGATAGTTCTAAATAACTATTTCTTCTCTGTGCAAGTACTATAGTTGATCTGTAGCAGACAGTTTACGCTGACACCCACTATAACGCCTCTTGTGGAAACACTGAAAGTGTAAGGGATACTTGTTGCATCATGGGGTATGTTCTGACATGTCATAACAAGTCAGTGTGTGAAATTAGGTCTTTAAAGGTAAAAGATGTTCCAGCACTGTTAATGGAACCAAACATCATGAAAATCATTCTGATCAAGTATTTTAAAGAATGAATTCTGAATTCCTAACTCTAATTACTATTATTTATGGATCTGAAACATCTTCGACATTGTGTATGTAGCTTTGCACCTTTAATTTGTGCCATTTCAAACTCTCCATGCAGTGATTCTGAATTAAACTAATCGTGCCAATTATATAATCCAGAAACCCAATATGTCTGTGAATGTTAACATAAACACTGAGAGGAGAGGGAGCGTGTGACTTTGAGAGAGGACAATGTTGCAGAACATGCTGGAAACAGGGCTGAATTTCACGATAACTTCTGCTTACACCCCTGAATTTGATATGCTGATGTTTGAATCCACTCAGTCTAATATCTGATCATACCACACTGAACACACCACACTGTTCATCCGTCCTGTCTTCCTCTCTCTCGCTGTCTTCTCACTATCTGTCTGTCCCTGCCTATGTCTCTTTCTCTCTTTGTCTTTGCACCTAGGGCTGGGTATCGAGTTCGATACTTTTTAGGCACCGACCGAATTGCCTCGATACCATCAAGTATCGAAAAACGTCTCGTTGTTCGGAACCAAATTTCGATACCTAAGCAGGGCCGGATTATCCAATGGGCACAGGCCCAGGGGCCCATGCGCACTTGGGGCCCAAGCGAGGGGAAAAGTGTCTTTACATTAAGTGCAAATAGCATGCTTGTTGGCAAACGCTATTTACAGTAACTCCGCCCACCAATGTCTGGTTGACTCTCAATATTAAAAAAGATGCATTGACTTCAATGGCTTTAGTGGTGTAGGTAGTAGAGTGTCAGACTCGCAGAATTACTTTTTGACTCCGCCACTATATGGGCCTCATTCATGAAAAATTGTGTAAATCGTTCATAAAGCCGTTCTGACAAACTTTCGAACTCATGAAAATGTTCGTATTTTCAAAATGTTAGTTGGTACGAAAGACATGTACACTTGCTCATGTGTTAATGGTGCGTAAAACATTGTGTTTGCGTTTTGATGCACAGCCATCATAATATTTTATAAGTTAATTTGCTCTGGTTTTTTTTTTTTTTTGGTGTAGGTAGTAGAGTGTCAGACTCGCAGAATTACTTTTTGACTCCGCCACTATATGGGCCTCATTCATGAAAAATTGTGTAAATCGTTCATAAAGCCGTTCTGACAAACTTTCGAACTCATGAAAATGTTCGTATTTTCAAAATGTTAGTTGGTATGAAAGACATGTACACTTGCTCATGTGTTAATGGTGCGTAAAACATTGTGTTTGCGTTTTGATGCACTGCCATCATAATATTTTATAAGTTAATTTGCTCTGGTTTTTTTTTTTTTTTGGGACCTGAGACTATGGTTGATTACTGTTCAACTTTGGGTAAAACGCAGCACTCGTCACTGTCACAAGCCGTCCAATCAATGGGACAAATGCTACCGACCAACCATCCTACTTGTACAACGACTGAGCAACAATGGAGAAGTTAATATTACTGGTTACTGCATTTTTATATTCAGTTATATTCTTCGAAATGAGATACTGGTAATACGTAACTGGCGTGAATATTCCACATCATAGCAACCAAATCTTTAGCTGGAAAAATGCTGTGCCACCAAAGAGTTCTCAAGGGCCACCAGCTGGCCATTTTCAGAAGAGCACCTGGCTAAAAATGCTTTGATGGACACGTTCATTTGAATATTTATTGTTAGGCATATGGCGCTTTTTTTCTTTTTTTTTGCATTTATGAAATATACTGGAGCCAAACCTGAGAAGGGAGTCCAGAATATTCCACTGTGTTCCTGGACACGTAATTTACATAACTGTGTAATTCATAGGCGGGGATTATGTTCAGGCAGCGGCTGTTTGCACTAAGTGTAAATAGCGATAGAGGCTATTTACACTAAGTGCAAATAGCAATAGATGCTATTTACACTGTTAAAATAGCAACACATTTTACCATCTGCGCTACTGAAGCTGATATTGATGATTGTCTTTCGTAATGTTGACCAGCCTAATCACACGTTGGTGGGCGGAGTTAGTGTAAATAGCCTCTGCCAACAAGGCGGGCTATTTGCACTTAGTGAAATAGACACTCCCGCTGCGTTCCATTCGGAAGGGCTCATCCCTATGCCCTAATCCCTTTAAAAGGGGTTCACCCTTCGGAGTGAGAGCTTCGAAGGATTTAGGGGACCAAACAACTGTTTCTTGAAGTGCCCTTCTGCTTGAGGTGCCGTCATCATGCAAAGAATCTGCGCAAAGGATCATGGGAGCCCGAAGTGTCCATCAGTTTGTATGAAAAACGTACCCTTTGAAATCCTTCATTCCAAAGGACCCTTTGAATTGGCCAGTTTTGAGCACTTCGGTTTGGAAAGACCCTTCAATATGGCGGCTATGATTGCTTTCACTCCGAAGCTCCGAAGTGCCATTCGGAGGGCGATATATCCCGTTTGGAACGCACCAACCGTTATGTTTATTGTGAACGAGCGTGCACACGCGCCCTATTTACGAATGATTGGAATTCATTCACATACTATCAAATCTGATGTTTACGAAGCGTTTGTGAATCTGGAGGAGAGTTTTCGGGAAGGTCTGTTTTACGGGCAGATTACTTTGAATTTACTCACATATTTACGCAAGTTTCATGAGTCCCCATGTTATTATTCTGTTAATATACAAAAATACTGAGGTGCAAATAGTATCTGCCAATATAAGGTACAGATAGCATAATTACTATTTACACATTGCAAACATTGCTGCTGGTCCAGGAAAGCATTGTTGCAATGTGATGTAAATCCTGTATGATAGAGGGTGCGATCATAGACTGTAACCTGTGAGTGTAAATCCTGTATAAGCTAGAGGTGTTTCCAACAATTAGTACCCTATAATTTAAAACCTTGATTGTGCACATGTGCATGTGTGGATGTGAGGGGCCCGACAAGACATTGTGCCCAGGGGCCTAAGGGGTTAATCTCATCAGCGTCAGTGAGCCAATAAGCCTGCAGCACTAGCCGGTGTGTTCGACTAGAAGAGGTGCAGAGCAGATCGATCATCCGCAAGAGCGATTCGAAAGCGCACGGAGCAGTCTGCTCTCTTTAGCTCTCGTGGTACTGTAATAC